GTTCCTACTAGTAATGCCAGGAGCTACTAGCAGCGTCCTTGCTACTAGTAGCTTTCTGCAATGGGTGCCATGAGCAGGCAAAGAAGGCGATGGAAGACTCATCGAGATGTATGGGTTTGGCTGTGCCGAAGTTGACAGCCAACTCCGTCTCATTGATGTCGAGATCTTCTACAAGCCTGAACCTTTTATTGAGGCAGGAAATCATTGACTTTCTTTGGAACCTACTAGCGATGGCCTCCAACCTACTAGCTCGCAGACACATGTACCAAGTCGGTTCGGGTTTTCCGTGTTCCTGGTGCAAACGAGAAGACTTATCCGAGGCCCTTCGTGGTATGTCGAAGAGCTGCAAGACATGGCATGGTAACGACATCCTGGGTGAAGGTCGGCCGCCCGAGATTTCGGATGATTTCGGATGTTCAGCTAGTAACAAGGACGCTCAATGAATAGTGCGAGCGCTTCTTCAAGGAAGATCTCCCCTTGAGGGAGGGGGGGAGCTTCCTTGAAGAAGTGTGACTTATCCTGCGTCCATGCTAGTAGCTTAAGTAAGGTACTAGCTGGCTCTCCCCGACTTAAAGAAGTAGGCGCCTACTTAATTAAAGTAGAGAGTAGGGGTGAGCGGGCAATTGAGTAGAGAGAAAGACTTTCCTTTGGCCTTTGTTTCAGTCACCCAGTCCAGGTGCGACCAGTCATTGCCCCTTCATCGAAAAGATGAAGCGCACCGGGTGGAAAGCACCAGATTGTCCGGTCCGCAAAGTGAAGTGCAATAAGGTGAAGCTTTGAGAAGCGTCCGATCGCGTTCGTAGCGATGCCAGGAGCCCCTAGTAGCAAACATTGCTCCTAGTAGCGATGCCCTTCGCTCCTAGTAGCTTCTTGCTCCTAGTAAGGTGAAGCTTTGAGAAGCGATTCTCGAGTTTTAGAAGCGACTTGAAGTCTTTAGCTTTGTTTGTGCCGACAAAAACCGGGCAGGAAAATCATTCATCCTTTTAATTGGCCTGGTAGCCTGGCACAGTGACAAGCACAGTGGCACACACTAGCACCGTGGCTCCATGGTTTCACCCGTACACAAGCACGCCGGAATGACTTGCCTTAAGCGCGCACGGGCCGCTCTCCTTTCGATGGACAAAAATGGCATAAAGAAAGTGCTCATAGCTGCCGAGAGCTTCGCACGATGAGAGCACTATGACTTGGAGCGACGGCCTCCAACTCGCTGAGGTTTTTTATTTGTGATGCTTGCCGGAACTTTGACCAGCTTGGGGAGATAACGGCGGAGACCAGGCGCAGAAGAGCACTATAGAGGCCTAGAAGCTAGTAGAAGCGCGAGCAGAAGACGTATTTTGGGAAACAAGACCAAAACAGAAAGCCAAAGAAAGTACACCTGGTCTACACAGAGTGTCAGCTAGAGTGTCAGCTTCCGAACGCTTCTCCAGCTCTTCCTTCTCGTTCGGAGGTGTCGGGACCTGGAAGACTTGCGGAATTCAACCGAACGAATTGCAGTCAGCTTGAGCCTTCACCCCAGCGAGGCCTTGAGTTCGAGCAGATCATTGAAGCTAGGAATGGCCTCCATGTAATTCCATGGCACTACCATGTATTCTCTCCCCTCTTCTTATCTCAACAAAAAGGCTGCATGTTCAGAAGTTTGATGAGCGTTTTTTGTCATCCAAATTTTCGTTTTCTTCCTAATAGAATTCTTTCTCTTTCGACCTTTGGACCGTCTCTAGCTTCTAATTTAATCAACTCTAGTAATTGAATTCTAATTTACTTCTTGTTTCTAATAGCAAACATTGGTACTACTAGTAAGGCACTTGTTACTAGAAGCGATGCACTTGTTCCTAGTAGCGTCCTTTTGTTCTGACTTTTCGCAGATTTTTGCCCTGGCGGAGAATGGCTTTTTCACCAAGTTGGCCGCCCACCTCGTCGCACCAGCTGTGCGAACACTGGTCGGGCGCACGGTGCAGATCCGCCGTGCACCGGTCACGACAGTCACGACAGACTAAGGTGCTGGATTTGGGTGATTGGCTTTCTTCTGCTCTGAATCAGGCTGGAAGACACAAAGTCCGTCTGCCGTCATCCTTCAAATCGTTCACGTTAGGTACCATCCGGGCCAGTTCTGGTTGAGGTCGATGGTGTGCAGCCCCCAGACCATGGGATTTTTTGGACGACAAAAGGCAAGTCTTGGCCGACTCATTTTGTTTTGTTTCTTTTTGTGAGGATGGTGAGTAGCGGGTAGTGGGTAGTGGGTAGGTAGGTAGCAGGCCTAGTACTGAGTAGGCGGAAACGGCTAGAAAAACCGTCGCATGGTCGAAAGGATTCAGAGCGCAAAAGAGAAAGAAGAGGATCTGAGCAACATTTTCTGAAAAGAATCGATGAACGAAAAACATGAAACAAACAATAGCATTATATACTGGTAGCCTCCTTGTTCCTAGTAGCGATGCCAGGAGCCCCTAGTAGCGTCCTTGCTCCTAGTAGTAAGGCCAGGAGCCCCTAGTAGCTTCTTGTATGCTGGGGTTTGTGCACCACTGGCGACTTGCTGAGGTGTGGAGCGAGAGCCATGTGTATGCAACCGAGCCAAGTGCGACACTAAAAAGAAAAAGATAAACAAATTGGAAACATCTTTTTCCGGATCAAATTCATATTTTCCTTTGAATATTTCGCTTTTGGATGATGCCGCACTGAATCTCTCTCTGTCATGTTTTACCAGTGTTTTGAGGCTCGAGGTGCGTACCAAAGGACTTGGGTGGTGAAGCAGAGAACTCTTTTGAAAAGACAAGTGGTTTCTCTGGAAAGAAGGCATTGCTAGTAGGTTGGAGGCCATTGCTAGTAGGTTGTGTGCCACAGTTCATGCCGTTTCAGAGAGGAGTCTGAAGAGAACAAAAGCGAGGAGCCGGAGGCACACACTATGTTTCTCTCACTATGTTGGTCTCACTATGTTTCACCAAGTTTTTTTGAGATTTGTTGCAACAAAGATGTCTCCTAAGGTCTAATCTGCAGTTTTCTGCTGTTTCTCTCTGCGGGTTTTTGCGGCTCATCAGCTGACAAGCCGAAGAGTTGCTTTGTCCAAATGGCCTCTGTCTGGAAGGCCCTCCGCCCAGGCGACCTGACCAGAATTGGACACGACAGCCACCAAAGAGAAAGGTAATAAGGAGAAAGAGACAAGGTGCCTATTAGTAACAAGAAGCTATTAGTAACAAGTGCCTTACTAGTAGTAACAAGTGCCTTACTACTAGTAATAAGTGACAATAAGTGCCTTACTAGTAGCAACAAGAAGCTACTAGGAACAAGTGCATCGCTTCTAGGAACAAGGTTACTTAAAGGGTTCCGGTCAACCCAATGACACCCTCGTGTCAGAAAGACACTGAAACTTGTCAGTACTACTTTAGTACTACTAGTGGCTACTTTAGTACTCTGTGGCTCGGTTCATGCATTCCGAGGCATTGAGGTTTTGAGGCCTTCAGCTTCTAAATTTATAGAGAAACTACACTAGCAATGGTCTCCAACCTACTTGCGATGGCCTCCAACCTAAGAGCGATGGCCTCCAACCAGTTAATAGCAATGGCCTCCAACCTATTAGCGACCACTGTATGCTGTTTAATTCTTACCTCCATCGATTCTCCACTCATTGATGCATTTGAGGTGATCAACCCTCCCTTCTATTTCAGAAAGGACACGCCAGAGAAGCAGAGATCTGAAAAACTTGCACAGCTGAGGTGAACTCATTCAGAGATCTCACCCGGGCTAATGGAGACGTCGGCGCCATTGACCTCGGGACACACATGGTTTCAGAAAGCTGGTTTCGCCATGTCGCTGGTTTCGCCCTTGGCGTGTGCCAGCGTATTTGTTCTGGTGAAGGATTGGGTTTGAACTTCAATGTTTTCAATGAAGATCTACATACAGCCAAGTAGGCTGGAGGCCATTTCTACAGCCAAGCAATTTTCCAGAAAACTATTAGCCGTTCCGGTCTTGCAAAGAACTCGAGCCCTTCTGCATCCCAGTTATTGCTAGGTTTCTTTCCTTAACATAAGCTACCTTACTACTTAACTCTATACAGTTTGGGTTGGAGAGCATCTTACCCTCCTGAGCCGCCTGTTTAGGACATTTATGTCTTGGAGCTGGCAGCAGATATCCAAGTCATGGCCGCAGCAGGGGTCGTGGTGGCCATCTGGGGACCAACCACTTACGTCTTGGCAGGCGTTAGACGGTTCCACAGTCGTTCGACGGCGGATGGCGTTAGACGCTTGTTTGCTTTTTCGGCGACTTACGGACAGCGTTCTGGGCGACTTAGCAGTGGACGTGGCAGTAGCAGAAGGAAAGTTCCTAAGGTCTAAAGAAAGACAAGCAAGAAAGGAAGGTCAAAAAGAGCAGGACAAGAAACTTTTTTTGGTCTTAAAAGCATTCGTGTTGGTAGCCAAGTCCATTCTGTAAGGGCCGCGGCCTTGCAACAGGCATTGGCCACTTTTGCTGCCTTGATACGCTTGTCACTTTGATTCTAACAGGCTATTGCTTGGAGAAGGGCTTTCTTTCACGGTGGTTTCCTTGGGAGACCTGGGGTCGCCGGGCTCCCTGGTATCTCACACACTGCGTAGCGTGTGCCATCTCCACGGCGCTGCTGCAACCTGGCACGCCATTTGAAAACAAGGCTTTTAGCTGTTCACTTGAGTGCCCCTTATAGACTTTTTCTTGTTCCTTACGGCACATTCCGTAATTCATATCAAGTCTGGAATGCCTTACACGAGGAATTTTGGATTCCTTTGGTGGGAACTAGGGGATGCCGGGAACGGAGACATGATTCGACTTTTTCAGACCAGACAGCCTGAGGTACTTCCCCCCAAGCTGGGATCCGGTTGTGCTTTGCATTTGGTATCTCATTTGGGGTTGCATTTGTGCGTGGCTTTTGGCAGTGCAATTCACTTGCTTTGAGTCAGCCAGAGCAGAGATCTATCCCACCAAGGAGCTCACACTCCAGCTATTGTGACAACTTTGGGGGTTTGGCACCACCAGTTTTTACATTTCATGGAATGAAACGCTTCTAACAACCTGAAGTTGACAAGCGAAGCAGATTGCAGGAGGAGCGCAGTGAGACTGAGAGCCTTTGCAAGATCACCGCAGGTCTAGGCAAGACTCCTATCATTTGAAGCAGAATGTAGGTCGCTTACCTTGAGATTTCGAGATGGACCTCTCGAGAAGGAGAAACGGAAAAGAAGAACATGGACTTCATGGACACCATGGACACCGGATCTCTTTTCGCTACTAGTAACAAGAAGCTACTAGGGGCTCCTGGCATCGCTACTAGTAACAAGGGCATTACTACTAGGAACAAGAAGCTATTAGAAACAAG